CCCCCGCTGCGGGAAGCCAAGCTGGGCCGTGGCCCCTTCCTCCCCGAGCAGCCCATGCGTGTTTCTGAGGTCTCCGGCCTTAAAACGATCTGCAGCTCGTTACAGCCCACGGGGGACGCTCGGAAATGCCAGGAGACGCAGCCCCGCGGCAGCCCGCGGCTGAAGAAAGGCGGCGCGGTTCTGGTGTCGGGGGGTTCCAGCGGGCTGACGGCCGTCCCGCCTCGGCCGGACGGGGTGGGAAAAAAACACCCACCCCAGATGGGACTCGAACCCACAATCCCTGGCTTAGGAGGCCAATGCCTTATCCATTAGGCCACTGGGGCTGCCGCGAAAGCAGTTTTCCTGTGTAGGTACTTCTCTCGTGTCTCCGCCCCTCTTCCTTTTACGGAAAGCGTTGAAGGCCGCCGACTGGGCAGCGCCTCCCCGCGCGCGGCTCGCGGACCGGAAGACGTCTGCCGCGTGGCCCACTGGGAGCGCGGGAAGGGGCCGGTGCTCGGCAGGAGAGGGCGGCGGGAGGGCGGCGGCCCGGCCTGGGGGCCGGGGGGGGGAAGGGGGCGCCGGCTTTCTTCAGCTCGTGGGTCAGGCCAGGACGCCAGACTTTACCTTGAGATAGCGCAGCCCAAAAGGGAAGAGTGCCCTTCTTATACCAATCCGCCGATAGTTTTAACGGGCTGCTCCTTGCTTGCAGTACTTCCCTTGCCTGCGTGCCTGCCCTGACTGAAGAGAACGCGTGGCTGCCCTGACTGAAGAGAGCTAGCAACCCTCCCACCCAAAACAGCAATGAAAAACCCAACGCAAAGCCCCATGCTTCAAGTGAAACCTTTTTACATCTTTATTTTTGTGAGAAATCACGGAGACGGGGCTAATATGTACATTCCTCTTTATTTAATACAGCACAGACACATGACATAAAAAAAAGTACACTCATGAAAAAAGCCTGTCGCAGTTAGGGACAGGGAACAGCTACGCCAAATTGAGTAAGGCTCCTACTGCAGAACAGGGGTCTGCCAGCAAGGTTGGATCCCAGAGCAAAGTCTGCTGCCAAAAAAAATCTTTGCACTCCTTTCAGGAAAGCAGAAAATAAAAGGGCACGTCCCTCTCGGAACAGGTGGAGGCGGCCTTATCTGCAAGGTTCACAGGATACAAACCCTATTACTGCATTTGGGCCAAAGCACAGATAAAATGAGAAATGCTCTCCAGCTATTCTTACAGAGGGCCAATAGTCCTGACCTCTGAAAATGTCAGACTTCTCAGGAATAGCAAACCTGAGCATCTCAAAGGAGTGAAAACATCAAGTAGTCACACAGAAGAGAGTTAAAATTGGTCTCCCCAATAGGGCCCTGCTAGCCACAGCTGGGAGTGTGCAGAGGAACAAACCGGCTTCCCAACGAACAAAAGACTAACAGCAATTAAACTGACCAGAACAATATACACATTTGGAACTGATGCGGGCTTTTGTGGCAGCAGCTTCTTCCTTTTCCTGCTTCAGTTCAGGATGGAAATTGAGCAGGCACCAGTTCCTCTGGCAAAGAGCCTTACACACTTTAAAAAAATTAAAATACAAAAAAGGGAGACAGGTGTATTTACAAAATCCATGGCTGGTACAGTACATCACTGACCAGAACAATATACACATTTGGAACTGATGCGGGCTTTTGTGGCAGCAGCTTCTTCCTTTTCCTGCTTCAGTTCAGGATGGAAATTGAGCAGGCACCAGTTCCTCTGGCAAAGAGCCTTACACACTTTAAAAAAATTAAAATACAAAAAAGGGAGACAGGTGTATTTACAAAATCCATGGCTGGTACAGTACATCATTTTTAAGACACACTAAATGCTACAATCTTTCAGGTCCTGAGATTATTACAAAAAAACCCAACAACTCAAAACTTGCGTTCAGGTCCAGTTTTATAAGGAGAGAGGAAAGAAATCACACACTTAAAACACAGTATCCCTTGAAGTTATTGAAACACACCTCCCTAAAAATCCAAATGAAAGTGGTGCTAACCACCCAAATGTAGCTGCATTTGGTTGTTCAGGCTTGTTGTCACAAGAGGGGAGCATTTCACAGGGGAGTTTCTCTGGAGAGCTCATCAGGTAAGCACACGGCTGTTGGGATCCTCTCTCCACGACTAAGCCCTATGATCCGAAATATGGGAGTATTAAAAGGAGAAAGGTGATCTTGTACAAATTCACGCTGGACTGAGTAAAGCATCACAGGAATCACCAACTCAAACAGGTTTGCCATCTCGTAGTAACTGCGCATTCCTTTGTTTGAAGCCGAGGAATGCAAAGAATTCTAGCTGTGATTTAACATTCGGTTATACAAAACACTTGGCCAGCTGTTTGCTCTGAGCTACCTAGTGAAAGGCAGGAAAACACTCTGTCCATCCGTTTCTCAGCCTTTCATTGTCTTGGGGATCACAGCAAGTCAGATAAGAATTAAGCTGGCTACATCCAAACTTGCTAAAATACATATATACACACTAAAAGTGACTCCAAAGAAAGGATACTGAGGCCAAACCTCTGTTGAGGGGATGATCCCCACTACCATTAGCTGTGCAGGCAGGTATTTGGATGCCCTGTTCTTGACTGAGCCTCTTTATCAGGCAGAACTAAAGGGACTTGCACCCACACCTGTTTTTTTTCCCCCCAGTGAAATAATCTGAACATAGTGCTTTTGTATCATCAGAAGTTATCATCACAGATGCCCTTTTATTATAAGCACCTGACTTTAAGCTTGAGAATGCCAACATTTTAAGGATTACTCATGAAATGCTTCTAACCCTCAGTAAAAGAAGACTAGAAGAGACAAATCACATAACAAGGGTACTAGTTTAACTGCTAAAATATAACGCTGCTCAGTAGACTTTGGGGGGTAAAAAGTAGTAGTTAATTTTGTAATTTTTTTTAAACAGTAGTCCAAAAATAAAATTTCTCCATCTATTTCCAGTATGGATCTTGAGAACTATGCAAGAACATGGTACTAATTGCTACATGATGGAATCACCGGCAATAAAACACACACTACAGTTCTCACCTCTGAGCTAAATTGTTATTTGTAGTTACATACAACAAGACTAAAAGATCAGTGAGAAATACCTGGGGATCGTGATTTAGCTTTTATTTAAAGATCCAGCTACTGTGTAGCCAGTAACTCCCCTTGTTTAGAAGCAACTTCATTTAAGTGAGAAATTGATTTAATTCACTTCCAATACTGGAAGGAAACCTGGGATGCCTCATTAGTTTCTCCCCAAATCCAATCTGTACATTAAAAAACACTGCTGCGACTTCTTAAACCAATTTTGAGAGCTGAATATTCTAAAAAACTCTCAGACTAAAACCTGTCACAAGAAGTGATTTTAGCTTCCCTCTCGAAGCAACTTCATGACACTTGACACTAGGTGTTGCACCAGTGAAAGGGTTTCTTTTGTAAAATACAAATTTCTTTCTTCACATTAGCAAAAAAGACTTCTGCAGTAGACATTCAAAAAATATTCCATTTTCTTTGGGTAAAACTTCAACATGTGTTAAGAGGGGTAGCTGGGGGAAGGAACGCATGTAACACTGAAACACGTAAATACTTATCTGCATAGTTGATATTAGTGACTACTAATCAAACTAAGGCCTTATCTGGAAAAAGCTGAGAACACAAGAAAGTTTCTTCCCCCACTCCCCACTCTGGTGAAATCTGGTAAGTCTCAAAGAAATTCTGGCTGCCTCAGCAGCTACTTCGTTTGGCCTACGATGGTGGTATCTCCTGACTGGTTTTGGTTGATTCTCTCCCTCCCTTTTTCTCTCGGTACTAGACAGTAACAAACGTAACTATCTGTTGATAATACATCTGCACACACTGCTCAGCAAAAAAAAAAAAAAACCCAAACAAACAACTTAGTATTGAGCATGATAGGAGTCAAACAGTGTACACTGCTTGTTTTGGATTACTTCACCATAAAGAAAAACATACTAGTTAATGCTTATTATTTAAGCAGGAGATGACAGCAAGGGAAGAGACTGAAATTCACTTCTAGATACAAAACGTGGTTTTTTTTTTTTCCAGAGTTGCTCTGTAGAATTATAGCTGTCAAAAATGGCTACAAAATACAGACCTATATCCTTGACTACTGACAAGATTAGCACAGTTTTATTTATGAGTGTGCAAAAACAGCTGTAGGGAATCTTTGTACTTCCCCAGTTTTGGGCCAGTTCCAGGCCATGCTGATCTCTCAGCATAACTCATAGCAGCAGCAGGGCTTTCTATGGCCCCAAAAGGCTATTACAGCAGCAAGGGATCACCGGGTCATAGAAAAAGGATGATGAAGCCACACCAGAAGTTTCCACAAACAAAGCATTCCCCTACACAACAGTTATCTTTCCAGTGGCCCAGTAAGCATACTTCTGGCTGCTTATTTTGGCAGTGATTTCTTAAGCAGTAGACAGACAAAGATTTTCACAACAGCTGCATTTGTTAAAAAAGACTGCAACAGTCAACCATCATCACCAGCTGCAGATTCCCCATCTCACAGATCAGCCTAGGATAAAGAACATGTGAGCCCAAAATGAATTAAACAGCAACAGAAAAGCCAGGTTAGCTCAGTTTACTGCCACAGGTGGATGTGGCAAACTCCACTGAAGTAACTTCCCTGATGCACCTAAGGCAGATTAAGAAGCACCCTCACTATCGCTCCAACTGGCTGAGCTACCAACAGTAGTCCTATCTTTGACTGGCACCATTAGACTGGTAGAAGAAATCTGCCCACGGCCTAGTTTACGTAAACAGGTTCACTCAAACATGTGAAGACAAGCTAAGAACTGAAATAGCAGTTAGGCTATTCTCTGCCCCAGGAACATGTTGTATTTGATATCTTACTTTCCGCTCTCTAGATGGGTTCTCCACTTATGAAGGACTCTTCATTCCATTCCCCTTCTGGAAAGTAAATGCTTCCTTTTCATACTGCAACTCAAAATTAGATCTTCCCCAGGGGAAGCACATCACAGAACTAGCAGTCTAGTGATGCATACATATGTTACCTTAAGCTTAGCACTTGGTCAACAAGCAAATTGCTCATTTCAGGTATGCATGTTTATAATAATCATAAGGTAGATAGATCCTCGGCACAGAATTGTTAAAATCACTAGATGATCTATTGCAGATTGCTAATTTTGTCAGAGAACAAGGAGACAAGCACAGACACTGTTATGAGGGTTCACTTGCAGCTAACAATACATGAACTTACTGTTTGTTATATTAAGAGAACAAACCATTAGTGAAATCTCAGTAAATTGAGAAAAAGTACAACTAGAGGAGTACTTCATGGTGAATGATTTAGGCAGCATGTGAAGCATAGCCAAGTTTAACTTCAATTAGCAGCTGCACTCCTACAGGTTTTACCAAATTCCTTCTTACATATGATGCATGGTAGAAAGTGACAACTTTGGTAAATGTGAGAATCCTTGCAATAACTGGTGTCAAGCAGATGTGACTAGCCACACACAAGATTCCTTGCAATTAATCTCAACTCAAACTTGTTGCAAGCTGCTATTTTAACCTTCTCTCCCCCCACCCCCTTGGGGTTGTCAGCCACACATCTTTGCCTCAGACTCAGTAATTGTGTGAAGTGGTCCAGTATTTAATAAGGCTGCCAGACAGGGCCCATAATGTTTTACTTGTGACCTTATTAAGATCCAAATTTAAAACCTTCAGAGAAAAATGCAAGAAGTTTCATTCCCATTAGCCACTTCCTTTCTCTCATGCACATTTACACACACTCACACACTTTTATTGTACTGCCATCTTTGCGCAAACGTTCACCTTTAAGTGTTTAACAGAGCCAGCAGAACGTAGAAGGATGAACAGGTTTCGCAGGAATATTGCTGTATATGTGTGTGTGTGCACGCATGTGTGTGAGTGTGAGAGAGAAAGAACGCACAAGCACACAGAACCAATGCCATGGTACAGCAGCTATGAAGTTACACACATTACACACTTTTTCTTTACAAAAGGGAAAAAAATAGTATAACAGCATAAAGCCATCTTGGCAAGCTTAAGATTTTCCTCCAAAATGCCTTCCAGCACTTCAGGATCTCTGAGAACAGTTTAAAGAGGGTAGGGAAATAAAATTAAAAAAAAAAAAAAAGGCACTTAAACAAAGGACAAAGGCCTGAATCAAGTAAGTCATGGAGGGTAACAGCCATTTCACCAGAGCTAGGACCAATCAAAATCTACCAACCTTTTTTAAATTTCTATAAAATTAAAATTGCATAAAGTGTTAATTAATCAGTCATTTACCTACTGCTTTCACCTTCTGGTTCATTTTATGGGGGGGAAAAAAAAAACCCCACCAAACCCAAACAAAAACCAAGTGTCCCTTTAATGATTTCCCCCCGATTCAGCAAAAGATGAAAGTTAGGTGTGGGAGGAAGCCTTCCACAGCTTGGCTTGGCTGCAGGTTTTCCCTGCAGTGCCATCTTCAAAAAAAGTCCAAAACAAAAGCAGAAGAGGGACCACTGTGCCTTCACCAATTCACTCAAAAAAAAACCCCCCAACAAACCCAAACACCCCAACACTTCTAATCCATCTGTGGGCAAAAACTACTCAAAAGAAAACCAAACAAACTGTAAACTAGATTAAAATTTGCTAATAAATACAGCCAAAAGTTCATTTTACGAATGTAGCAGCAAATGTGATAAAGTTAGTTGGAGTCCAAGATGACTCCCAGAGGGTTAATGGTTCACACAACTGATGGCAGCTTGGGAGAGTTGCAGGATTTCTCTGTTTTCATGTCCTCAAGGGTCTTGCACCAAGTGGAGAAGGAGTGTGGAGGAAGGGTCAGGTGATGGGACTGCGGGAAGGAAACAGGCTCTTGGCACCTGTCCCACCCCCAAATCTGTGCATCAGACAACTTTGATCGGATTCAAACAGGAAGCAGAACCCAGGTAATTAAAAGTTACTTCTGATTAGCAGAAAACAGATGTGAAACCCACAGCATCCACACTTGTGACTTAGTTGATCAGTATTAGTCATGTATCTCAAATCAACAGAGAAGGCTCGACAAAGTGATATAGGCCATTTGCATCTTGGAGTGGGAGGACACTGCAGTTATAGTCCAAGGTATCAGGAAACTTTGCAGCCTGTTTTTCATCTAGCCTGCCTTCTTTCTTTGCAAGTGTCTCGAAAGGATTTAAAATAGCTACCACGACTTTTGGGACTTTGGATCATGTAGCAGAAAATATGACCCAGATGGTTTTAACATCTAAAACCTGTGTTTGAAATTATTGCTTGCATTTGTTTGGGGCTTTCAGTGAGCTTGACATGTTAGCTCATATACAGTCCCCAAACCAAGTTCAGCCCTGCTGCCTGGAAAAGACAGCTCTACTTGGCTTTCTTATTGCTTGTGAATACTGAGGGTTATTTAGTATGTACAACTACAGTTTATTTATTAACAAAGGCCCTTAAAAAGTAGTAAAAACTTGGGGGAAAATGTCTTTAGAAGAGCTGCTGTGCAGAAAATAGTAAAACATTAACCTAATTTTGCATTTGGACATTGCAGAAATCTTTCACTTCCCCATCCTGTTTATGCTACCTGCAAAGGTCTCTGGGAGCCACCCTATTATTTCCTTTGATTTGGCCTTGCTAGGTTTAACCAGGGAGAATAGGGAACAGGGAATGTAAACCCTTTCATCACTATGTTGCTGATTCCTAAGAAGGTTCGCTAAGAAGCTCAGGAGCATAATGACTGAAAACAGTTACCCTCTAGGGGGGCTGTTTGAACTGGCTTCACAAACAATGTATGGTCATCTTTATTCTCATCATCCTAATACCTATTTCCACAATAAGTATTAGTTTACTTGTTTCCCAAGACTGAGAAGCTCAATAGGCCACACAGACAGGACTACTCCTACCCTCAAGATTTAGAGAGGATACTCCTCAACCGAAGATGAGGCATACTTCCAGGAAGAGAGGAATGTTGAAAGGAAATTTGTGCTGTAGTTATGAAGGGCTCCAAGTCTCCCAATCTAAAATTTCATTAGGTATGAAGACAAAAGATGGCAATTTGAATGAGATGCCTTGATGAGGAAAACATAGAAGAGGTAGAACTCTCTTAGGACAGGGTCTTTTAAACATATTGCTGCCTGATGGCTCACTGCTGCAACTCCCGTAGCTACATGCATTGTTAAAAAGTATCAGGTTTGACACAGTTCAGAGAATTAGCATCCTGCCAGAACTGTTAGGCCTCAAAACCCAAAAGTTGTCTTCCTTCAACCCTTCCTGGAGAAAAGAGAAAAAAATCAGATAAAGCTTGCATTCTAAATAGTTTATGGTATTTTGACAGAATTTGCACAGTATTAAGAATGCCAGAGTCTACGTAGCTGTATGTTTCAACTCTAAATAACCTTGATGATGGAGATGCAAGCTTATCTAATCAACACACCACATAAAACATTAGCACTAGCTAAAAAGCATTTAATTGGCAGATGCTGTGGAGTGAAATTAACGAACTAATGCATCTTATTTTAATTCAATCTGTCTTTCACAGAACTGTTGTGCAAAAACATTTATTGCTGAGCTCAACCCAACATTTTTATACTAAATACACAATATATATTATTTTAAATTCACGTATATATATTTATATAAAATTAAAATGAGCTCTAAATAGAAAAGAAATTGTTGTCTGGTCTAAGAAAAATAAATCACATGTAAAAGAAACCTGAAAGCTATAAGTTAATCTAGCAAAAAACACTGAAGATTCATTATTCATGGATCAAAGTCTCTCTGGAAGTCTCTCTCTCTCAAATCAAACTACTGGAAAGACTAGCTACTAGGAATTTCAGCATCTCTGATCAAAGGAATGTTTCGGGGTTGAAGGAGACGGGCATCATACTATTTTATTTGCTCCTTTCCCCTATGACTTATTTCAGTTTCTGCCATTCTCACCTTTTATCCAACAGCACAAGGGACTCAACTGCAAAGTTCTGTCCTAGTGTCAAAAGTGCAACATGTGCTGGATACTTTCCTAACCTTACAAATGAACCAGTCGATGTATTGCTATAAAAAAAAAAGCCAGCTTTGCAGTCTTGTGCTACCATGTAAGGAAGAGTTCAGGTCAGGAACTCCCCAGGCCAGCAGGGGCTAGAAATGCTGGAGACAACCCATTCAGCCCCCAGAAGAGAAGGCACCTCTGGTCGCTTTTGAACGACTCCTCTTTGGCTAATGCCTGAAGCAGTACTAACCTGGCTCTGGAATAGGTCACAATCAGCTTTCTTTAACTAGCAAATCAGTATAATGCATGGCTTTTGGGAGGAGTTGGATGAAAGATGAGGAAGATCTAGAATGAGTAAAGAACTGGTTGTGTTTTATAAGAGACATGAATAGAACATTACTTAATTTCAGTAGCAGATAAGCACAAGGCAAAGGAAAAGAAAGTTTAACAAATGGAAGGACTGAAAAATCAGTGTGCCTTAAAAAAAAAAAAGGTGGGAAAGAAATGCTAGTCTGACCAATAAAATATGGGTTTTCTTTTCATGTAAATGGAAAAACTTCCATCCCCTTCCTCCCTTAAATAAGAATCTTTATATTACAAAAAAAAAAAATCAAACAAGGAGCAAGGGATTTCCCAGTAGTCTGTGTCTCACATCTCAATGTACCAGGAGATCTGTTTTTGAAGACCACTCTCTAATGAGACTGCATACATCTGTAGGCTTCCTAAAGCCAAACAGCCTTGTAAAGCTGGAAAAATGCCCGTACCAGAAACTGCATTTGTGTAAGGGTTTAATTATAATGCAAAGTATCCCAGCACCACCTCTACTCTACATAACCTTTGGTCCACAACCATATAGTACACTCAGGACCTACACATAATCTTATACTGGGCACTTTGGGCACTAATGAAGCGGATGATTCCACCTTACACAATGGATGGAGAAACCTGTTCTAGCTCCTCTCAACACTTTCAACTCTTCATTGGACATCACCCAGAAAAAAAAAATGTTTTGTGCTGCTGTGGGTTTGACGATCAATTTCTTTTAAAAGCCAATCAGAGCAGATAAAAAAAAGCTTGTTTCTTTAGGCAAGATCAAACTATGACCAGTCTGCATGACTAGGAGGACCAGTCCTCCTTTTCCTTCTCTCTTTGATCAAGTATTGTTTTCTTTTTCTTCTTCCTCTCACCACAGTGCTTGGGATCAGAATATGTAAACATCGACAGAAACAGCAGCCCTGTGACAATAAGCACTTTCCCAACTGGGCAGATTCTGTCAGCCAACCAGAACTGCTTCAGCTCCCTTGCTTGTCCAGAAGTCACTGGTTTTTCCGCTGTAACTTAGTGTCCCCTTTACTTTGGCCTCCATCTGTAGTTCAGAGACAGGAAAAGAAAGGGAAGAATAAAAGCATGAGTGAACTTTTATTTTTGTAACTTACAGCAAAAGATACAGGAATTTGGCACATTCAGCTTTAGCATCACCAAAAAGTAGATTGTCTTTATAGGGTGGAAGACTTTGCATCTTCTCTGTAGTTCATTTATTAGAAATAGCGCTGTTGAAACCTGAGATATCAGGCTTCATACCAAAAGATACCATCTTTCTAAAGATTAAGTTGCAGCTTGGGATACTGAAAAAAAATTAAAAAAAAAAATCAAGCCTTTCTTTAGAAGCCTTTACATTTTAATAAAACATTTTTAGTATTAAACCCATGGCACTCACTGTGACAAAAAATTAGGGTTGTACTAAATATAGGCAATTGGTTTGTTTTCACAGCCTTAGAACAACACTGCCCAGTTTTTTGGTGCCGAGGACTCTGAGAACAGGATGAAGAACCCCCACCAAGTCACTGCCACCCTTCCTGTTCCTTCTCCTGGCAAAAAACACCCCTACAGGTGGCAGAGAAAGGAGTACACTCTAAACTGCACCTTCTAAAGCTTTATGATAGTTTTTCAGCTCTAAGCCTTGCAAACAGAAAAAGGAGATGTTCTACTTCAAGCTTCTCTTATCAAAATATGCAACTCTTATCAAGGATAAAATTCGCAGGGAATGCAGATCTTCCATTAGGAAACCATTACACTGTTCACACATGTATACACTCTTACAAGAAACACGAAGAAGCTTCTAGCTGGAAGGTCAGTTTCTCCTCCAAAGGAGAAATTAAAATGGAGTGCAAGAAACAATCTTGCCAATACAGACTTTATGCAGCCTGTAAGCAATCATACTAGCATCCAGTAAGTAGCATTCTTTTTTCCCCACTAGTTGAATTTGTACATTTTGGTTTCTAGAACTGCTACAATAAAGTATTAATGAAATTTTTGAACTTTTTTTTGTTCCTGACATTGAAGACAAGTAGGAAAAAAATTGTTCAGGTTCCAGAAATACTGCTACGATAGAATGTGTACTGTCTGTTGCTACCAAAGCTTGTCCCTGTGTTGTGTCTTCTCTAAATCAATTTCAGTTCTGGTGTACATTTTATTTCAGTGTAAGGCAGAAATCTGACTTTTAAGTTAAAAATAAGTGATAAGAAAAATACGATGTCTTTACCTGTGTAAGCTTGCTGCAAGTGAGCAGGCAGAGGTGAGTGAGACAGCGTTGCTGCGTGCTGAGCACCTGGCTGTAAACCCTTCAGTAAGTCTGGGAAAAAAAGAAGAGCAACAAAGATGAAAAATAAGTCTTAAGGACAGAGGCAGCCTTTGTGAAATAGGAAGTTTTTGCTTTTATAGTGTAGCTATAGTAGCATGCTAATTTGCACAGATTTCTGAAGATGTATCTCAACAACAAAAAAATAAAATACTGATAGCATTCTGATGGTTGGAATAAGTCAACAGAAACAGACCTATTCAGATATGGTTAATCAAAAGTCAGAGCAAGGATCATGCCTCGCTATTGGGATGCAACTCTTCATATCACTTCCTTCGGCAGAAAGACCAAAAATTGATATAGTTAAAAACCTAAAGAATTTCTTTTTAAGCAATTGGAAAAAATAAAGGCCATCTTGGTTGATACTTTGTCATAAGAGAACTGTTTGATATCTGAGATTACCGAGCTAAGGATATTTTTAGGAATCACCATATTAAGTCTCTTACTTGTATTGTGACATTTGGAGACTTTTAAACTATATTCCTTTCTAAAGATAAGGGATTAAAAGTTAACCCAAAAAAGCATGTTCAAAACTAAGTATATACTGTGAATGTAACAATGACGTTAAGCTTATCAAGAGGTGATTCATAACATTTGGATAATCACATAAACAGAGTTTTACCAGTGAAGAAGTCACATTTACTCTCCTGTAGGGATTTTCATGAACCAAATTTGAGTGTCTCAGAACTTTATTGCTTCCTTTCTTAATTTCCATTTTCAGGAGGCATCTTTCCTTATAGCACAGTGTGATAACTAATTCTACTCACTCTGAGTTAAGCTGTGGTGGAAAGCCGCTGAGGTAGATCCCGAGGTGGTTGTCACTCCAGCTGTGTCCGTCCCAAAGCCAAGCAGCTCCAAGGGAAACTGGAAGGGCACGGTCACAGGAACAAGGCCACCCAGCATCCCAAAAGGAGTTAATGGTGCAGACGTCACGTTCTGACTGGTTACAGACAGGGGTGATGCCATGAGAGTCAGAGGTGAGGCGTTAGCCAGTAATGATGCTCCTGCTGTTGACTGTACAAAGAAAAGGAGTACTTCAAGATTTTAAAGTTTGGATTGAATTCTTTAAGGAGATAAGAATCAACTATTTTCTGTTAAGTGTGGCCCTATTAAGAAGTGTATTAAACTATTAATAAATATCCACTTATCCACCTAGGAGGTCTTCCCACTGTTCATCTGCTAAGCAAGTACAATTATCTCTCAGATTCAGACACGACAGTATGGTTCATCTCATGTTTTTCTCATCAGCCCTGCAGGTAATTTCCTCTATCTCCTTTCTAATTATGCACTGTGTCTACAGTCAGAATCTAATGCAACATCTTCTATTAGATTAATACAAAATTATCAGATGTAGATCTGAAGTTCTTTAGTAGCACAGTATTACTCTCCCCTGTCCAAATTTGGGTCTTAACAAAACACTAACTTTATTTCTAAATAGGTTGCTTAGAAGCAATGATTTTTTAAAATTAAGATTCATACATAAGAAACCCCACACTTCAAGAGAAGTCAGGTTACCAAGATGCAGACAGATATGTATGTATAGATGTGTATGCATGCATCAAAGCAAAAGGCAAAGGAAAATAATCTCTCCACTCTACATATGTCACAATGAAGTTAAATTCACTGTAGTTTAAAAATAAAAATGCAAGGTTAGCCAGAATGTTTTAGCTACAACTCCCAAATTGTATTAATTCCTTTAACATTAGAAAAGCTCGTTGTTGTTTAACAATCTTTCCTTTCACTATGCATATAGTAATTTTATGCTAATGTTCAATTCCATAATGATCTGCTATAAAACAGTTAGTATAGAAAGCATTTTGAATCAGACTCAAGCTCAGATATTTTAGATATTTGAGTTGAAAAGATTCAGTCTGAACAGGACTTCAAACCTGTGCATTTACACAAGTAAGCCTTAACTAAAACCAAAACTTAGAATAATTTTAATGAATATGTGAGCTTAAAATGAAGTCTCTGAGTTCTGTAATATCAATTTACAGAAACAGCAAAGTGATGAGAACTCCTAGCAGGGATAAAGTTTCTATTACCAGTTTTGGTCTTAAGGTGTTCAGATGAAAGCAGCTAAAGAAAGGTTAGTTGCTGCTTATGAGAAAACAAAATTTTAAAACAGTAACCCTGTTAAGTGTATACAGCTACAGATGTGATGTTTGTAGCAAGTGTTTGTATTGGTCATCTTCGGAGTGACAGCTTCTAAGATATACTCCATCCCACAAGTAGAAAAAAATGCATGAAAAACTTCAACATACATGATTATTCTCTTTTGCCTTTAAAAGTACTAATTTCACAATAAGCCTATGTACAAAAAATGACAACCATTTACTGTCTATGTAATCTTTACTGTGTAACAAAATAAAAGCCATACAAGTACTCTCTTGCAATTGTGGATTTGTAAAATGCCTGAAAACAGAATGAAGCTTTGTAACATGCTCTGCCAAGACCTTGCTTACTCTCTCAAAAAGGAGGAGAGAGAAGTTCAGTGATGGAAAGAGCTACAGAGAATGCCCTAAAAGAGTTAGAGTTCAGATATTTCTACTTATCTGACCTATGATAGCACTTCATAAAAGGGTTCATCCTGGTCATGTAAATCTGAGTCACTAAGATCCTTAAAAGTCTAAGCCAGATTCTGCTCAAGAGCACTAATGGTAGGTAGAGCTTTTTAAAGGAAATCACACACAATAATTGCTGAATTTTAGATTACTTTGGCTTTGTGTTCTTAAAATGTAACTTAGAGTATTCCAGAGTAAAATTTCTGTGGAGCTACAGCAGGTTTAAGCTTATATTCTGGTCAATAACTGTGTCAATCAAAAGGGGAAAGGAAGGAAACACTTCTTGGAAACCCCTCCTAGTTAGGAACATCTTTATTATCACATTAAATCATCTAGTCTGATCTTCAATGTAATCAGACCAGGATATTCTAATGAGCAACTCAGGTACCATTCTCACCTTCTGACCGATTAATAGCATCTCAGATAGGAATTAAATCCCTAAACCCTTAATGGAAAGGAGATTCACTTTCAGTCTTTCTCAAAGTTTTAAGATGTACTCCTTAGTACATTGTACCTAACAACTACTGTGGAACTGATTAAGTTCAGCAGCCAGCCATTAGATCTTTAAGGCTAAATAAAGCCCTCCATTATCACAAATCTCCTCCCCTTCAGTGTACTTGGACCCGGAGGTAACTTGATTCTAATTTTCTCTTGAACGTACTCCACTGACTAAGCCTCAGTCTGCACAGTAGCAAGTCTTATTCCATGGTTTATCTTCCTTGTACCATTCTTCTGAACCATTTCTAGGTTATCAAAGTAACTTCTGAAGTGTCAAGAAACCCCACATGTAAAGTCACAATAATTATTTTAGTGATACCATATGCTGCTCAGTACCTCCAGCTTATTTCCCCCCTTCTATATACCAACACACCTTATTTTGCTGTACTACAGTATGCACTCATGTTACTTGATTATCCACCACACCCCCTCCAGTCCTCTTTAACATCACTGTCTGCCAGAATGCATTTCATTCGCCAATTGATCAGTGTTTCTAAAAAAAATTACTTGCCTTTAACTACAGGAAGGTTTGCCAAAATTCATCTCATCATCCAACACAATACTACTTATTTCCCTTGTCCATCATCTTTAAGCACTACCACACCCATTTCACATTTTCTTCTACGTCACAGCAATTGTATCCACTGGATTCTGTTGACTGCACCAGGAAGAAACAACTCTGTTCCTAGTCCATTCACTGTAGCCTTTTTTTGTCTCCTCCAGGCACCTTCCAGAGTACCCAAACTGCACTGTATCTGGCTCAGCTCTTCTCTAGGCCCTATGTGGTACCTCAGTGGCCCTTAACCAGCATATGGGTTATGGTTTTTTCATTCAAAGTACCCAAAATGAGAAGGCTGTGTCAGAGCCTGCCAGACATTTCTTGTTTACTGTAACAGACTTACGGTACAGTAGGATGAAAGACCATAGAAATGCCTTGTAAAAATAATCTTCTTCCTGTTACTCAGCTGCATTAAGAAAAAATTGATAGCAAGCTAAAAGATTACAAGCCATTGCTAAAAGCTGAGTATACATCACTACCATGCAATAGCTATGTATATTGTTCAGAAAAATACACAGCTTTTCCATTTGCTGTACACCAAGACTCTGATTTACAGTGATACTGCTTTTCTTAACTTTACTTAAGTAGTGAAGACTTCAGGATAGACAGCAATAAAGAGAGAGGAAAGCCTCAAATCATCTCAGTAATTAAATCATTCCCAGTAAGAAGAATGCACAACTTGGGAAAGCAGGTTGTCTTCTGGGTAAATAATAGGTTTGCATGGGTTTTAGAACAATAGTATTTTCAAAATATTTGTTTTGTATGACTTTTTATCTCCAGTGATGAAGTTCTGCATAAGCTCTCTCTCAAACAATTTCTAGGATATTTATATATTGATCAGGTGCCTCATTCAGTTTGACTAGATCCTACAAAATAAAATACATATTTAATCACAAACACTAAAGAAAAGCCCTTGCAAGTGTTAATTTTAAATACAAGTCTTGCATTATACTCAAACCATGAGCAACTGAACTCTAGTTTTGCAAGTTAATCATGAAGCTTGGCAACAAATGTACCAAGACACCTTTTCATATGACCACCATCATTACAAATAAGTAAATATGTAAGAATACACAAATCCAATAATGCAAGACCACATCCCCTGAAAATATGGCCACACAAAGCTTACCTTTTCTAGTGTTCTTAAAAAAAAAGAATACAAAAGTGAATTCTGTTCCACAGTATAGACCAGCCAACATTTTACAGTGAGGATTCGTTCCACACTGATTCTTGCATTTCACATCAGCTGGAAATATCTATTCACTAGTGCAAAATAGTTTCATCAGTATTAGCATTTATGCTTAGTAAAGTATAAACATTACATTTATGACACATTTTCAAATCAAGATATTGCAGGAAAGAATGTTTACAAAATAAGTGTGATAAATATTAATGTAAGGTTTAAATGTAAACTCGTTAGATGCATACCTGCACACTGGCTGCTACAACTGGAGACCCTGAGGCAGAAGATGGTCTGTGTGGAGTTGACAATTGTTTAGTAGCACCCTGTGTTCCACTTCCTGCTCCCCCAGACAGACTAGTCCTACTAGCTCCACTTGAATTAAGGTTACTGCCTCTGCTGGCAGGTACATTCATTCCAACTCCACCCAAATTACTTTTACCAACAGTTCCAGAAGGAGAAGAGTTGGGCATTTTTGAAGAAGCCTGAGGGTTCTTTGCAGGCTGAAGGCCTGAGGTGCGATTAGAGGGCAACAAATTCATTGTGGGAGACTGCCTGCTGATATTTACACCACTGGTCTGTTTATGAAGGGGGTTGTTGCTGGAGTGACTACTCTGGGAAACTAGTGCACTTGAACTGGAAGAACTGGGTGTTGTTGCAGGCCTGGGGGATGAGGTGGACTTGGATGAAAATTTAGGTGATGCATTGGGCTTGGGTGTCACAGAGGGCTTAGATGCAGTGGGCTTGGGAGAGGCAGCAGGTTTGGGAGAGGCAGCCATGGAGAAGGGAGGCTTGAAACCCTGGGAAGAAACTTGCGACACCATAGCCTTGGCTAAATAGTTACTAGAGGTAGAGGTGCTGGATGTTGTCCGAGAAACCAGTGGGTGAGACACTTGAGAGCCACTTCCAGATGAGGGATTAGACAAAGGCAGGCGATATACTACAGACTTATCTTGAGCCTTGATGACTGGTGATGAGCAAGATAGTTTGGGATTACTACTCAATTTCACCACTGGGTTGGTCTGTGATTTACTAATAGTTGCTTGTAAAGGAGATACATATTTCTGCTGTACAGCTGAATGCTGGTGCACCTTTGTCACTTGTGATGTTGAGGAAGAACCACCTTGAGCCTCAGAAGATGTTACCAAGATATTAGCATCCTTGGTTCTTTGAGAGGAGGTGGAAATAGCTGCTTGGGTCTTAGAGGAAGAAACATGAGTCTGTGAAGAGGAGGAAGCAGCTTGGATCTGGCTTGACCTCTGTAGTCCTTGCTGAAGTAGTTTGGCTGGCAAAGGCTCTAAGGAAACCTTAGGATTTTGAATTGAAGATCCAGCAATAAGGCCTGAAGAGATACCAGTGTGAACTAGGTCCTGGGGTTTCTTTGGTACTGGCCCTGTGTGACCAGCAATAAGACTTGATGAATGGGGTGTTTGAGCAGGCTCTACTTTCTTTGAAGTTGCCAGGGGCAACTTACTCATAATGCTTGCTAGTTTCTCTTCCCTCAGCCCAGGGCGAGGTCTGGATGTTGGTGTGTCTATGGTGGACCCAAGAGGTGATCCCTTGGCACCATTATTGATAACTGCCAGAGCATCAGAAATAGAGTCCAGTGAGGGTGGGTGGAAAGAAAGGTCTTCATCCAGTGAGTCGTCCAAGCAGATCGTCTCTGGAGCTGGTGTACAGCTAGAGCTGGCTGGGGTGCAGACAGGTGTGCTGGAACTCAGTACAGTAGCACAACTTGAATTGACTGAAGACATACAGGTTTTCTGTTCTTTCTTTGGACTGGAGTCCTGAGAAAGAGATAAGAGACAGGTTTAATAGCCTTTCTAGAGTAGATCTAAAGTCTTCTTTAGTGTAATACTATTATTCTGTAAATTCAGATGAACTGAAGATCTACTATTGAAATTTTCATATTAAGATACCTATGATATCTAGGTGTTAAGAGTCCTGTGTGCTAATTCAGTATTTGTATTTAAAAACCTAGTGCTGTTGCTCCACATAACTAAGAGTGCCCCACACAGTCAAGGATAATCAATGCTGTGAAGAACAGGGTAACTAACCTGATGCTAGGTAAAACTGCTACTGAACTAAGACAACACCTCGTCGTGTCTAATGAGAACCTCTATCAACTTACTATGTTATCCTCCCAACCACACATTTTTCCAGTGTTGCCAAATTTAATACAAGCTGAAAACAAACACAAAGCGCACATTAAAAAATGCGAAACTTTACTGGAACTAGTACCTCTTTGTAGTCAATTTTCAAAAAACTAATATAGCTTAAAGTCACAAAGCTACACAGAAGTCTTTTGTACTACTTTCTTTGAAGTAATACACCACCAAGTCAATAAGCTCTTACAGCATTTCCCGATGGAACCCTTCTGCCAGAATTTTTCTGGATCAGAGGCAGGAAACAGGTTGTATCAAATGGTCATATAAAATTCAGATATCTAAATAGGCATTTACCTTCACTTTGGGTTTAGGGGCCAGAATCACCTTCTTCTTTGCCCTAAAACAGAGGAAATACATTTGCATCAGAAGACAAAAGAAAGGCAAAGTCATTTTAGTTTTAACTGTTACCCTGATTATACCCCAATAAACTAGAAGGGTGACTACTGGAGTCCAGCTTTAATAATAAGACATCCTTGAAATAGAAAATGGATTAAAATATAGGGAGGAAAGAACAAGCACACTTTTAATCCCTTTTTTGTCATGTATCTCTAAGTAAACTAGATACAAAATTCCCTGAATTGCTGATATAACCTGATATATAACAGGAGAGCTATTTTTCACTTTTCTGATTTAGAGAAACTTCAAAATATCGTCATTTAATAATAAGACATCCTTGAAATAGAAAATGGATTAAAATATAGGGAGGAAAGAACAAGCACACTTTTAATCCCTTTTTTGTCATGTATCTCTAAGTAAACTAGATACAAAATTCCCTGAATTGCTGATATAACCTGATATATAACAGGAGAGCTATTTTTCACTTTTCTGATTTAGAGAAACTTCAAAATATCGTCATTTCAGCCTCTTATAATCTTAAGAGTTTGTCTACTTAGCAGAGCTTTGTCTAAACTGCAGTCACCTATAATAGTTATATAATTTCACTTTACATTGATGTTTTTGTCACTGAGGAGTATATTTCGTGTTCTCATTTATATTTCAAACCACATAAAACAGTTGCTTCCCCCCCCCCAAAAAAAGTGTTTTGTTGCTTATCAACTGTGAAACAGTTGTATTTAACTTCTGTTTTGTTGCAAGAAGCCATTTAACGCACTTCCAGGTTCTTTTGCAGTGTAAGGGAACACCATAGCACCAACTGCAGTTACGCGAGCAAGGACAGCATTAAGGATTATTAGTCATCAGCTTCAACTTAGAAGTTAAGCATTTCACACATCCTTTTCTCATTTCTATTTCTTCAAGAGGATCAACAGATTTACATCTTACAGGTCATTTATTCTTCTTTCCTAAGCAACTAGGAATATGCCTGGTTAAAAAAAGACCCTACTGTCAGTGGACCATGACTCAGTTTTGCTATTATGTAGAAAAGTATCTTATGTTAATCATATTTATTGCAAAGGTTGCAATTTGTGTGTTTTTCAAAGTCATAATTGTTTATTTGACTTCTGGCTGAATGCAGGCAGCTTTTGAGAGGGACACAGCATTGTCTGAAAATCAAGAAGGTAAAATTCTGCTAAGATACACAGCCTTATGTGGTTACAGACATAATTATGAGGAAAAGAGCAGGAAGTACTGCAGTCTGAGTTCAATTTAATATGCTGCACAGCAAAATTTAGGTATAGTGCTTTGAAATACTTTGAGTAAAAGGCATTAATCCAAGAATGAATATCCACTTATCTAGCCATTTCATAACTGAGTTAAAATATAATGCCGTAAGAACATTAGTTATATGTCTAAATTAAAGCATTAAAAAAATTAACATTTTAAGTCTCTTCGAACAAATTCCCAAATATTTCCCTTTCCTCCCCTCTGTCCAAAAAAAAGGTAGCATGAACATGGGAAAAGATGCTACGAACAACCTGAAGATACTAGTAAGTTGTCAATATTTATACTCACGGAGCAGAAGTGAGGTGATTGTGCACACTTCGGCTTTCTTTAAAAAGCATCCTAAAAGAGTGGCAAGAAAAGAAACATAAGGTGATTCTACAGGGACAATCAGCATATGACCACCAAATATGCAAGTATCCTTGAATTTTCAGAAGAACCCTTTGATTATCTGTCCCCAAAGCAGCTAGTAGGTAGTTTGTCTGTATTGCTACCATGATGCAGTTCCAGGCAGCCATAAACAGAAGAATGCTAAAAAATAATAAAAAAAAAAGATTTCAAGTTTACAATCAAAATACCTCAGTAAATGGCCAAGCAGAAGTGAACATAATGGAATATTACCTCCTTTCAGCTGAAAAGAAGAAATACATTTTCAATTCTCTCTCCTTAAAGGCCAATGAAATATTTTAAATATCAAATTAAGGATTATTGTAAACTTTTCACACTACGTATCCACACATTGATCATCGGTTCGGGTTTTGTGGTTAGTCTGTTGTGGTGGCGTTTTTTTTAAAAGCACAGAGGAAAGTCAGAATACAGTAGCCAAGCTTGTTTCTAATTTTCTTCAGTATTTTGTATAGGCCATTGTGTACCATTTCTATGACTTCAATTACACTGGACTTACACATACATTTTACTACAAGGCCAATGAATGGCAAAAGTTGGTATGACAAATCTCAACACTTCACATGCTTTTATTTCCATGTTACCAACTCCTGAGCCGACAAGTGGGAAGTGAAAACGATTCTTGACCTGTACCTATCCTACAGCTTGCTACCCAAATGCAGCTATATAGACAATTAATGAAAACTTGGTCCCCTTCCCTGTTTCCAGGTAGGCAAACTAGAACAGACAAGATTTTCCTACATTACTGCCATCACACTAACACTGACCACCACATCATGAACAGCTGTCTAAACAAGAGCTTTTCACCACTGATAACACATTCTGTAGACCTGCAATATTTATGGATACTTGGATTTCTCATAACTCTCATGTAATCTGGTAAGAAAACATTGACATCCTCTCGCTACAGTTCCAATGCCTTACTTCTCAGATTCCACTTTCAGCTCCATTTTCACATTTTCTTCACCATACTAACCTCCAAATCTGTATTACATTGCTCCCCATCAGAGACTACTGAATGCCTATGAACATCATCATGGAGCAAAAGGAACATTCCTCATTAAAGTTCAATGTGCCACTTTCTGACCTACCCAGCTTCTCCAGAATATTTCCCTCCCCACCTCCTTCCTGGTGGTTTTTCTATTCCTTAATCTTTTTCATTTGGGAATGAAAATCCCAAATGAATCCCAGGCCCCAGTAATTTATAGTATCATCCTTAAAGGTTCAAGACAAAAGTGTTACTACTACAGGAACAGAATCAAAGATATGGTACAAAGGACAGTGCAGCGTATGTTCCAAAGCAAGAACATGCTTGGAAAATAATCCCTCCATTGCATACATATATTTAGATGTAAAAGTTGACGAGAGATCAGTATGAGATTGTTTCTCTCTGATCATCCAGTTGGCGGCCGGTCACAAGCGGTGTTCCCCAGGGCTCAGTTTTGGGGCCAGTCTTGTTCAATGTCTTTATCAATGATCTGGATGAGGGGATCGAGTGCACCCTCAGTAAGTTTGCAGACGACACCAAGTTGGGCGGGAGTGTTGATCTGCTCGAGGGTAGGAAGGCTCTGCAGAGGGACCTTGA